CGTCTCGCAGGTAGTCATTAACTACCATGCGTTGTTTGTTGGCACAGGTCGAGTCCACAGGTCGACTCAGGCGCTGCACTTGCCCATGTAAGCGCAGCCTCTCAACGCATGCGCAGCTAATGAAGTTCCTAGTCGAGCAAGTGTCATAATAGGCCCCGACCTTACAGACGCCGATGACTACCTCGCTGACGAACATCTCACCCTTAGGGGCTTTGACCAATGCCATCCAAGAAGCTAGTGGGTCTCATCTAGACCACTCCTCCTCTAGCTCCTTTAAGGACTCGAACACATTCATCGAACAGAGGCTCAATGGGTCTGAATGTGCTTGCGGGGCGACGATGGAGTCACTAGCTTGGACCATCTCTCGAGATGGTGGGGGTGTGTCCACCACTCGACCCTAGCAGGAACTGCTACTATTCCTACTGGCCCGACGTGTTTCCCGGAGCAGAGCCAGAAGTGCTGGCCACATTACTACCAACGGGAGAAGAGGATCCCAACGCCTGCCCCGTCGTAGGCGGGATCTTCTCAGTCACCTTCTTATTGCGACACTTGAACTGGTTATGGCCATATTGGCCACAACGGATACAAGCCTGCCGCGTGTACCGATCTCTCCACACGTCCTCACTAAGACCCACTTTCTCCCATGGAGGAGCATTGGGGTCAACTTGACTCCTAGACCGGGAACCTCCTCGGCGTCTTCCGGTCGCCTTACCTTTTTGAGCTACGGCAGCGACTACTCCACCCCCTAAAGCTTCTACGTTGTCCGCCTCTGAACCTACTCCCGTCTGGAAGTCGTCATCCAATTCGATGGTGGAACCATCGTTGTCAACGAACATGATGCATCCCTTCGCTTTCCAGTTGGGAGGCAGTGACTTTTTCCTACCATCCGTCGTAGGTGTCTGTCCATGCCCTATCTTTGCTTCCAAGTCTAGGGCCTTCTTACTAAATGACGGGAAGTTGTGCATGTTGATGTTGGCCTCACTTGCCAACTGATTCCTGAGAGGCATGGGAAAGCATCTCAGGTAAGAGGTGAGTAAAACATGGGGTCATAGCGCACCCCATGGACACAGATCAGACGCTCTACTGCGTCAATGGCCTCTCTTATTGACTTTTTGGTATGCAGTGTTAGGATTGCGTCAGTAGCCTTTTGGGATTCCTGAGGATCATGCCACCTGTCTTCCACCAACTTGAAGAAAGTCATCCAGTTTCTGGGTGACCGCCCAAGCGCGAAAGTCATGACCGTACCCCTGTAGCTGCACTAAACCACTCAACCATCTTGTTGCACTCCCCTCTAGATAGGAGGCAGCCACGAGCATTTCCTCGTGCGGCAAGGTAAGTTTGCACTTCACATAGACTGGCACTGCCCTCAACCAAGTGTCGAGGTCTCCGGCCCTCTTATCCCCTGTACAGGGCTTAGGAGCAGCGATGGCCATCTTTGGAACCCACTTACTTCGTTCCGGTCCTGCACCATTCCGGGTTGTGGACCCTGTGGTGCAGGCTGCTGCACTAGCGGCTGCTGGGGCTGTGTACCCTGCGACTATGCAGGCTGCGAGACAGCAGGCTGCCCGCTTACGGCAACCTGCGACGAAGGTTGGGAGAACACTATTTGTACAGGAACCTGCACACTAGGACCTGCTGACAACCCTCCTCCTAACGACATTCCTAAGGAAACAGCTTGGACCAAGGTTGGGGAGACATATGGGGATACCCCAGTCACCGGTGGGACATAAGGAGGAGGTTGTACAACGGGCCAGGCACCGGACCTGGACAGCGATGGTGCTGCCTGCGCTCGCCTGGCCAACAAGGCCAGACTCTGCTGGATGTCCTGAAGGAGAGCCGTGTGGTGGTCCTGCATCTCTACAACTCCTAGCAGGGTTGTCCGCAACGTTTTCACATCTGCATCCATGTGCGTCAGGTCCATTCCCTCTAACTCACTGACGTCCGCTTGTCTCCGCTGCATCCAAGCTCTTCTTCTAATCATTCTTTCCTTTTCCGCTTTTATCTCTCATAAAACCTTTTGTAGTTGTGCCTCCTGCAGCGTTGACTGCTGTATGGCAATCTCATCGGAAGTCAACACTAATGGCTGGCTTGCCATGACACCAGTGGACTTATTCGGGGTCTGCGCGACCGTTGACCCTACGGTCCCTGAACTGCTAGCCTGGGAACTCTGTTGCGCAGCGGTTGCCATGGCTGCTGAAGCTGCGGCTTCGCTTGCGAATGCCCTGCTGGCCTCTGCTGCCCTAGCTCTCCGCTGCTGCTGCTGCCTCTCCCTTTGCTGGCGGAACAGCAACCTATCACCCTGGGGTCCTCTTGCCACGTGGGCAATCGGGCGTCGAGCTGATCGCAAGATCCGATCGTCCTCACTAGTGGTATCCCTATCGCTCATAAGCTACAGAACTGAACACAATCTGCACTACGACACTCTTTGATGCCTACCGCAGCATAGTGCACAAACCGACTTATTATTATAATTAAACTAATTAATCAGTGGCTGCGTCAAAGAGTATATACATTTGGTTCCAACAGGTAAGTTCAGGTTCCTACAAACAAAACTACTTTGACTTTGACTAGTTCGCAAACAGAAGCACAATGAACAGAAAACAGTTCTAAACTATGTTGTCTGTCACATGTTAATGGTTGTACATTTAACTAATCAAAGATAAAAATAGAATCATTTGTTGGGTCTGTTTGCAGAGTGGAATCTTGCCCAAACTTATCACCTGGAATCCACCCCTCCCTCAGTTCTTCTTGAATGTCTCTTGTCGTCAAAGTCCCTGAGCAATCCGGACAGCGTGCATGTCTAAAGGTGTGCACACGGCCCACCCCTGTGCCCCGAGTCCTGTTGAGCTGGCCAGCCCTGCACAATATTTATCCTCGCGTGCAGCGAGCCTTACAGCGACCAATTGGCTGGTCAGGAGGCGTTTATATGGATTGCCCCCAAAGTCCTCAAGAATTCTTTAACGTCGTAGACAGGACGACAATCACAACCACTGAAAGGTACCCTGCCAGTGCTTATTTATAGACGCCCGGTCTCGTTTGTCCCATAAGGCTGGCCTGCCCCTCAGAACCCCTCTACCACGTAGCGAGCAGACAAAGGACAAAGCAGCAAAGCATGCGTGCTCTACTCCCGGTGGGTTGGCATGGTGACCATGACCTAGTGCTTCGTCCAGGGCCCTTCAGATAGCACCGCCCTCTCCTTCCAGATGCTCCACGTGAAGATTGACGACTCTCAAGGTTGAGCGCACACGACTCCTCACATGAGAGGACTCTCAAGACAGAACACACATCCTCACTGTAAGAAGTGTCGAAGAGGGTAGATAAGGTTAGGTGCAACGTACCTCAAAATAGTTGCCCCCAACCACATATATTCTCACCAGATGACCCGATGTTGATTGTGATGACCAATTGCTGCTTCGGCACAACCAGCATTGCACAACCGTTCCACCTCAGCATCAATCACACACCGGATAGTTCTCATCACACTGCGAACACCCAATAATAACCGCTTAGCCTTCCTGGCGAACCCCTCTCCACATGGGTCGCCTACTAATCTTCGCCCTCCTCACTACACACGTCCCATGGCACGGTCGCTCACCGCACACACCGAGTGCATGTACCGCATTAGGCAGAAGATAAGCGCTAGATTAGCGAACTGGACCACAGCTCCGATACCAAATTGCAAGGAAGATGAGCGATAGAGAACTTCAGAAATCAAACAGCATCATACACATGAGACCAGATAGTCGTGACCTCGAACCAATAGCAAAATTGCTTCACGAGTTTCACCAAATAAGAACACAACAAAAACTCATAATTGACAATGCTAGTTTAGTCTCATCGTCATCAACGAAGAACCAATGTCGATATTCTATCTGGCGCTCAGCGCCCAGACTACAACTGGCAGATCCTATCTAGCCTAGACTACAATGCCGCTGATGACGTCAACAGTTTCCCAAGTACGAGCAGATCTCGAACAATGTCGCACGCTTCATGCACCAGGTATGTCTCTCGTATCACTCACAACCTCGTTCCCCAACTCACAGATGCCTCATGCACCCAAGGACCACCATGTGCCCCATCCAGCATACAGCAGCGCAGCTCGGCTATGGCTGCCTGCTCCTTCCAGCTCGCCCGTGAGTGCGTGAGCCTGGCAAGCGATAGCGCAGCAGCGCTTGCGCACAAAGCAGTCAGTGCCCGAATGTCCAATGCGTGGGCTGGCCGCTTCCTAAATGGAAGTGGCCAGCCTGCTTGTGTGCAGCCTGGTTGCATAAAGCAGAAGCTTCCGGTAGACCTAGGGAGGCTGAGCCTCAGGCCCAACGAATCAGGCCCAAGGCCACCGACAGTTACCTGTGCCCAACTGCCCACTGTCGGAGTTGGGTCTATGCTGCGCATCTTGCCCAGGGCCTGACTTAGATACATTTGAAAAAGGAGGCCAAGGCCTGGGCGCCTTCAACCAACTTGCGCTGTGCAACTGCCTGAATTTTCCCCAGTTGCGAAGTAGTCCAAAGTAGGCCTCTTGTCGTCTGTCGAGCCTGCCTTCACTTAGGGTGGCCGACCTGTTGCAAATAGGGGCCCAGTAGGGCTTATCGAGGCCTATGCCTCACAATTGATTGATTGATTGATTTTTGATCGATTGATTCAATTTGATTGCTTGTTGATTGATTGAATGCTTGCTTGCTTGCTTGCTTGATTGATTGATTGAGTGATTGATTGATTGATTAAAAAAGAATTAAAAAAAAACTCGCACATAGGCGCGCAGCTCTAACATAGTTGCGCGCTCCCTCTCTCTCTCTGTCTGTCTCTCAGCGCGCGCACGAGAGAGAGAGAGAGAGAGAGAGAGAGAGAGAGAGAGCATGCGTGCATGTGTGTGCATGCGTGCGTGTGAGTGTGTGTGCGTGTGTG